TAGTCGCATCAACGTCAATCACCAGTTAGAAGTACCTAAGAGGGCAAGACTCCTTAGTCTCCTCTCATCCTTTAGTTACTGTTTCGCCACAACTTCGAAAGTCCGGCAGACTCCTCTAATGAAGCACAGAATTATCACTGAGCCAAACGTGCAACCCGTGCGCCAACATGCTTACCGCGTGTCGCGGAAGGAGCAAGATGCTATTCAACATCAAGTGAAACAAATGCTCGACGACGTAATTCAACCATAGACTAGTCCTTGGGTGTCACCAGTTGTTCTGGTTAAAAAGAAAGATGGTTCATTACGATTCTGTGTCGGCTACCGCAAACTGAACAAGATAACGAAAAAAGACGTATATCCTATTCCTCGTAATGACTCCTTGGATCGCCTGCGACACCCCCGTTACTTCTCTTCCATGGATCTCCGTAGAGGATATTGGCAGATTGAAGTAGATGAACGGGACCGAGAAAAAACAGCGTTTATTACACCGGACGGTCTCCATGAATTTAAAGTTCTCCCTTTAGGCCTGTGCTCCGCTCCAGCCACGTTCCAACGAATGATGGGCACAGTTTTATGTGGCTTGAAGTGGTACTCTTGTTTAGTGTATTTAGACGACGTAGGCGTTTTTTCTACGACTTTTGAACAGCATATTGAGCGGCTTGAGGTGGATCTTCTGGCTATTCGCACTGCCGGACTCTCTCTGAAACCGGAAAAGTTTTATTTTGGATATGAGGAACTGAAATTCCTTGGCCACATTGTCAGCAGCAGTAGTGTTCGTCTCGATCCTGACAAGGCTATGGCAGTTGCTTTGTTCCCGATACCGAAAAAAAAGCATGATGTACGTCAGTTTCTGGGACTTTGGGCTCATTACCACCGCTTCATGCCAAATTTTTTGAAAATCATCGACCCTCTACAACAACTCGTCAAGGATGACGTCGCCTTCGTCTGGGGCCCCAACAATCCGGCGCTTCCCTCGACCTTCAACAACGCCTACCAACGCCACCAATCCTTGGTCACTTCGGCACCGAAGCAGACATAGAAGTCCGCACTGACGCGAGCAACCTTGGCCTCGGAGCTATTCTCGTGCAATATCAAGATGGCGTGGAACGCGTCATCGCCTACGCTAGCCACACGTTGTCATCTGCGGAGAAGAACTACTTGATGACTGAAAAAGAATGTCTGGCGGTTGTATGGGCCATAACGCAATTCAGGCCCTACTTGTACGGACGCCCCTTCCAAATCGTCAGTGACCACCACTCTCTGTGCTGGCTAGCTAATCTGACAGATCCTTCGGGCCATCTCGCAAGATGGAGCCTTCGGTTACAAGAATTCGATATAACGATGGTTTACAAGTCTGGCCAGAAACACACCGACGCTGACTGTTTTTCCCGCGTACCCGTCGAGGTCGCTGAAGAAGACAATGATGAAGACTTCAACTGCCTTGCTGTTCTCGCATCATTAAACATGGCTGAGCAGCAATGCGAAGACTTAGAATTACAACCACTGATTGAATATCTTGAGGGACGTCGCCCACAACCCCCACATCAGTTCGCACTGGATTTGTCATCTTTCTGTCTACGGCAAGGCATCCTCTACAAGCGCAACTTTCATTCAACGAAAACTGTTTGCCTCCTTGTCGTTCCTGCTGCTCTCCACGATGATATTTTGCGTGCTTCTCATGACGAGCTCATCAGGGCGTCTTGGCTTCGTGCGTACTCTGGCGCGGATCAAGGACAAATACTACTGGCAGAAACTTACAAAAACCGTCCGGTAGTACGTAAAGACATCCACAGCCTGTCTGCGCCGCAAAACTCCAACGACGAAACCAGCCGGTCTGCTTCAGCCTTTGCGACCCCCTAACGCAACTTTGAAAAGGTCGGGATAGATTTACTTGGCCCATTTCTGAAGTCTACGGCTGGTAACTGCTAGATTGTGGTTGCCACCGACCACTTGACCAGATACTGTGAAACACAAGCCGCCCAGCGTGCAACTGCTTCTGAGGTGGCTGACTTTTTCATCAAGAAGAGCGTGCTCCGCCACGGTGCTCCCGCTGTCGCCATCACAGATCGTGGTACTGCTTTTACGGCACAGTTGCTCCGACAGACCCTGTTGTTGAGCGGCACGGCGCACCGAACAGCAACTGTGTACCACCCGCAGACTAACGGATTAACCGAACGCCTTAAAAAAAACGATTGCAGATATGCTTTTGATGTATACGACCAAAGATCAAAATAACATTTGCCTACAATACCGCTTTGCAGGAAACCACCGGTTTTGCTTCTTTTCGTCTGTTTTACGGCCGCGACGTCACACAATGCTTGACACCATGCTGCAACCAACTCTGCCGGACACGATTACCCCGCACGCAGATGTATTTGTTCAGCGTGCCCAGGACGCCCGGCAGCTGGCGCACTTTCGCATTTTATCGCGGCAAAATCAAGATGCTCGCTGGTACAACACCCACCACAGAGCAATAATATATGAACCCGGTGACCTAGTCAGGGTTTGGACTTCCACGTCAACGTGGGCGCACAGAAAAATTGTTATGTTTGTACTTCGGACCCTTCCGAGTTCTTCATCGCCTCGGCGAAGTGAACTATGAAGTTGTCCATGCAGACACGTCACACTGTTCTCGCAAACCCTGCTTCTCGGATGTGGTTCACGTCTCCAGGATGAAGCCGGACTATTCGCGTTGACTGCAAGTCAAGAAATTAGTGATGTGGCAATAGCGTTCAAGACAATTGTACAGAACTTTCTTCCTTCTTTATTTTTTATATCGTCCTTTTTCTTTTCAATCGACACAGACATTTTTGACTAGCTTTCGTTGTTTTTCGGAGCCGTGGATTTGATGCGATGCTTCTTCTTCTTCTTCTTTGGGAAGAGGGTAATGCCACGCTTTGTTGGTAGCAGAAGACGAGAGCGAAGGAATGAATGGCAGCTGTGGCTGAGTAAACAGTCCTCCACTTCGAGTTCCAGCCTATCGTTTCTTCTCGCGACAATATTGTAGAAAATTTTGTGCCAAGTGTGCTTCAAGACATTTCGCCCATTGGTGGATGCCTTTTCGAAAGCAAAATTGTGCAGTAAAGTAATAACATATACACCGCATATACGCAGGAGCACGAAAAGGAAAAGGGCCTGTCCACGACACGTAAACTTCAAACAGGGAGGCCTCTCTTTGAAACAGTGTGAACTTGTATCAATCTGAGAACAATCAACTGTTCAAGAAGCATTCATGCCCAATATTTGCAATTATTCAAGGCGCACCGTTACATCAGTTTGTTTTCTGGCTGCACATGAACCAGGATAAGTAAAATTACAATAAAATAAACTGTTATCTATTATCTAATATCTATTACTATTCGTTGCATGCGTGTGTTATTGATGTTCCAGCCAATGCTTTTTGTTGTTCGCTACAAGATGTGTGCTTTTTGCGAATGCGCAGGTGTTGCTGCGTAAAATTACAGCATTTTCAACTGTAAAACGGTGTTTTTTTCCTAACACCCCTACAATAATGCCCACTTGGCTGATTTAGGTAGAAATAATAAATGAAGGAATGAATAAATAAATAAATAAATTATAAACTTCGTACTTTTATATTATCATCATCAGCCTGACTACGTCCACTGCAGGACAAAGGCCTCTCCCCTGTTCCGCCAGTTAACCTGGTCCTGTGCTTGCTGCAGCCAATTTATACCCGCAAACTTCTTAATCTCATCTGCCCACCTTACCTTCTGTCTTCCCCTAACCCACTTGCCTTCTCTGGGAATCCAGCTACTTACCCTTAACGACCAGCGATTATCCTGTCTACGCGCTACATGCACAGCCCATGTCCATTTCCTCTTCTCGATTTAAACTACAATATCCTTAAACCCCGCTTGTGCCCTAATCCACTCTGCTCTCTTCGTTTCTTTTAAGGTTACACCAACCAATTTTTTTCTATTCCTCGCTGTGTCATCCTCAATTTAAGCTGAACCCTCTTTGTAAGTCTCCAGGTTTCTGCTCCGTAGCTAAGTACCGGCAAGATACAGCTGTTATATACCTTCCTCTTGAGGGATAGTGGCAATATACCTGTCACAACTTGAGAGTGCTCGCCAAATGCGCTTCACCCTAATCTTATTCTTCTAGTTCCTTCAATTTCGTGGTTCAGCTCCCCGGTTATTACCTGCCCTAAGGAGACATAGTCTTTTACAACTTGAAGTGCACTATTACTTATCTCGAAGAGCTGCTCTTCTCCGAGGTTGTTGTACATTACTTTCGTTTTATGCATATTAACTTTTAGACCCACCATTCTGCTTTCCTTGTCTAACTCCGTAATCATGAGTTGCAATTCGTCCCTTGAGTTTCTCAGCAATGCAATGTCATCGGCGAAACGCAGCTTACTAAGGTACTCTCCATTTACTCTTATCTCTAACTGTTCCCATTCTAGGATTCTGAAAACCTCCTGTAAGCACGCGGTAAATAGCATTCGGGAGATTGTGTCCCCCTGCCTTACACCCTTCTTGATAAGTATTCTGTTGCTTTCTTTATGAAGCCCTATGGTAGCAGTTGATCCACTGTAGATTTCTTCCAGGATGTTTATTTATTCTTCATCGATGCCCTGATTCCGCAGTGTCTGCATGACTGCTGATATTTCTACTCAATCAAAGGCCTTCTCGTAATCTATGAAGGCTATGTATAGTAGTTGGTTATATTCTGAGCATTTCTCTATTACCTCAATGATAGTATGAATGTGGTCGATTGTTAAGTAGCCTGTTCGAACTTTCATATTACATAGTAAATAAAAATTGTGAACGCCACTAATTGTGATTCTTTCGTCAATAAGGCGGCCTCATTTATAGCGAGGACTGCGTTATTCCTCATTTGGCATGAAAAGTTTACACACACACACACACGCGCGCACGCGCACACATTACACGCAAAGGTGAAGCTCACTGGCTAACGAAATACTTTATCACTATAAAATGGCAAGGCCAAATTGAGAAACATGATGGCAAGCTTACCTTCGAGCTTGTAACCATCGGTATTAACATTTACGTTGATAACCTTGGTGTATACTAGACGGGCATCGGAAATTTTTTGTAGGAACATGCAGCCAATAATTTCACTTCGAACGTAGCCGTCGCCTGCACAAAGGAAAAACATGGTACCATTAAGCATTGAAGACATATACCTAAGGGCAGCCTTCTAAGTACATTTTGGCAGGTCAACTTTATTATGAATAGAAAGTACGTTACACTAGATATTCCACTGGCGTGAAGCCTGCTGACGTAATGTAGTGGTTATGATGCTAAAATTTGTACCCTAAGGTCGAAGGATCAAATCTCGACAGAGGTGGATGCTTTTCGATGGAGACAATATGCTAGAGATCCGTGCACTCAGATTAACGTCCACGTTTTACAACACCTAATAGACAGAATTTCCAGAGCCTTTCACTTAAACAATTAACAAATAGAAGTTGACCGGAACCAGGACTGAATGAAAATAATGTGCTTCAACGAACTACATGAACCTCAGAGTAGCGGCAGTAGCGTGGAGTTACAAAACGTATTTTGGCATTTGTGAGAGATAACTAGCTTTTTTTATATGATGAACATTTGTTTATTGCTTCCGCCACTACATAGTTAGTTATGAAGCTGTACACTCTCTTAGCTGATCTAGAAGTAATGCATCTTTTTTGGTGAAGTATTGGTGGTTTGCTTCTTTGAGGAAAAAAAACATAAATAAAATGCGCACACCATCCACCAGTCCCGTTCCTGAAAGCGAGCTTTGCGAAAGCAGGACGCCATACGCTTTCTGCCGCATTGCACAGGGCATGGCAATCACTGATGCTTCGCGTACAACCTGGGTACAAAGGGCGAAATTCTTTCAGATAGGCAGGCTTTGCTAGTGTGGAACTTGGGTTTAAAAGTTTTGGAAACGATTATTGTGTATTTGTGAATATTGTGTATTGTATATTGTGATTAATGAGTATTTGTGAATAATAAAATCTTTTTCACTTTCCGGGCAAGAAAATGTAATAGTTTTCTACACCATATTTTTTCTCAAAGTACAAATAGTATGTTCCATTGAAAACTGTGGTTATTATTGTAGTTTTTTCCATGTGGATATGGATTGAATGCAGCAACAACAAATGCTGAAGAAATAGCTGGCGGAACTTGATGCACACTCGAAACTAATATTTATATGAAAAAAAGGCAAAAAGGCAAACTACCCAGCCACATTCGCAGCCCGGCAATCCTGGAGAGGTAACTTGATAAATATATAAATCGCACTTCTTAGATTCAATGTACCAAAGAGCAGATGAATTGAGGATAGCAACAAGGGCAAATAGGATGTTCTATAGAACAAAAACACATGACCAAGTTGATGAGTAAACTTGAGTAACATCAGAAGAATAACTTCAAAACTTACGGAAATGTGCCAATTTGGTAGGTGTGAGAGCACAAATGTAGCAAGACTAAAATATGACACAGGACGAAATGCTTGCTTCAAATAACGGTTTATTTGCACTTAAGCTCGACTATTTATGGGAAACCATGAGCATCATGTACGACAGCAGTGAAAAAAAGGGCAACAAAAAACATAGAAGCCACTTCCACAGATATGTTTGTCACGACATCGTCCTCTCCAGAACATTAAATTGTAGGTCATACCAATATTTCATTTTTTTCATTATTGCAGAACTGCATCATTTGCCGTAAACACTATATTCTGCCACACCTGCGGCTGAGGTCAAAGAACAACGATGCATTGAGTCGAAGCGAGCCGGAACTCAGTGTCGCTCCTGTAAAAATTATGATTATCACTATCTATCTATCTATCTATCTATCTATCTATCTATCTATCTATCTATCTATCTATCTATCTATCTATCTATCTATCTATCTATCTATCTATCTATCTATCTATCTATCTGTCTATCTATCTATCTATCTATCTATCTATCTATCTATCTATCTATCTATCTATCTATCTATCTATCTATCTATCTATCTATCTGTCTTGCCATACTACACCTTGTGTGTGCAGGCAAGCAGGCATATAACAGGCCTCGCTGCCAAATTTAGAAGAAAAACAATATCCCAAGTATCAACATATGCGATGCCTAAATAGAGAAGAAGAGCAACAGAGAGAATATCCACTGAAAATTTCGATTTTGAAAGTCGGCACTTGTCTTTGTTCCCATATTTGTCCGTTGTCGAATCCTATGTTATTTATTGAAGATGGATTATCAACATGCTGAATGCAAGAACTTGCTTCTGCATCGTTGTTCTTTGAGCTCAGCCACAGGTATGGAAGAATATACTTTTTACGGCAAATGAGGCAGTCATGCAATACTGAAAAAAATGAAGTATTGGAGTGACCTACTATGTGATGTTCTGGAGAGGACGACGTCGTGACAAACATAGTTGTGGAAGCGGCTTTTATGTAAGTTTTCAGGATACGGGGAATGGTAACCCACAGGAAGCTCACCACTTGAGTCGAAAGACTTGCACTTTCCGTCCTCTGACAGCACGCCCATCTGCTTGAAATTCAGCGCGACGCATGGATCGAGGTTGAGGTTCCCAGCGCCCACGATGGCAGCCTCGCATCGCCCAGAGCGAAGCGCGAGCATGGCCTCGTTCAATGCCACAAGTGTGGAAGAGCACGCAGTGTCGACCGTCATACTCGACCCTGTGTTATAGAATGTTGGCCAAGATTGAGTCCTAGTGGCGGGTCGCCGTGTCGAATTAAGTGCTTGTGCATGAAACTAATATATCTCAAGTTTGTTGGTTAATCAACACAACAGTAATATAGCACCTACTCCATGATACGTGCACAAGGAACGCCAACGATGACTCAGTCACGTGTGCTGCACATGACCTTGCACCAGTTGCCTCGGCCTATTCTCGAAGAATAGGCCTCGGTTTACCTTGCTCAAATTTCAGGCGTCACTCGATGAATTGGGGTAACTCAAATACGAGGTGATACGTGCGGACCCCCCCCCCCCCTATTTTTCACTTTCTCAACGCGCACAAAGGAGGGAGGGGGGAACGTGCTGTAGCAGGCGTTAAATCCATAGTTAGTTGCCATCGGCGACTACAGGGGTCGTGGACCTACAGATGGAACAATCTACACGAGCACAACGCAAATAAAATCTACATCAATCAAATGCTCTCACCGTAACAAAGAATAAATAAGGAGTAACGTTTACCCGCAGAGGGCGAAGAGTAGCTGTCTGCTATGGGGGACCCAAGCTCAAGTTTGGGAGCCATGCTCACGCGGCTGACCAATGTGTTAGTGGTAACAAACGCTGCTTGTAGAGGCGGTTAGTCACCGCATTTCGTTGCAGTGGCGGCGAGAACATGCGCGCGCTCTTCATTCCACCCACAGCAATGGTAAAAAGCAAGAGTTACATTCTGACGCTCCTCAGATGCGATCCGAGATCTCTGCGACCGCTGGAAAGCGGAGGCGACAGTGTTCTGCTGAACAGAGCGCCAAGAGTTTTAGCAGGTATGATAAGAGCAGGGGCGCTAGTTGAAGTTGCTGTGGAAGGTGACAACACTGAAATGTCCTACGTCCGCATATACTCAGGAGTACGGAAAGTCACCTGTTTTGATTCCATGGCGTGCGTCGCTTTAGCAGCATTTGCTCGCGCAGATGACTGAGGGCAACAACAGATATTAAAACAGATATTTAATTTGATTTACGATCGGTAAGATACTGTTCTTGCTGCAGGGTGTGATGCTAGTGGGAAAAAAAGACGGAGAGGAAACACAAATTCTGGGTGCTCCACACAAAGTTGATAGGTCACTCAGCAATAGCGAAGCCGCAACTGCAGTGGCCCAAAAAACGGTTCTAACACAGCACCGATGCATGGCGCAACGCTTAGAACTCAGGAAGAATGCCTTGTAACACAGAGGAGACAAAACAGGCAATTGGACCGTTACATCAGACGTGTACATCGCAAAGAGCTCAATGACTGCAGATTTCTCAAAAGTTATGAATGCAGCAGCACTACGTCGAGCTGGCCTGGAACCCTGCTGCCCATATGTTGAACTGCTTATATTTAAGCCAATCTCTCTTGCCACTTTGTCGTAATTATGTCCTGGGCAGAGTACGCTGATGTGTTTGGAAAGAATGTTAACATTCTGTACTCTGTCAAGATTCTTCATGCACACAAATAACTTGTCCTCCGCGAAAGATTGTGATTCTGAAGCAAGTATATGTCACACACCTTGCAGGTCGAGAGAGTAGGAGATTCTGTTGGAAAACATTGACCTGGCGCATCCCAGCAGGTAGTTGCTATCCACCTTGTCGTCCTTGCGAAAAGCGTAGTATGACTCGGAGTTCGAATTTGCAATGAATACACCTATGCTGCGCTTGCGCAGTGTGTCGGGGTCGTATCCGGCATCGAAGATGGCCTCGTACGACGTCTCCAACAGCATTCGTAGCTGTGGGTCCATCACGTGTGCCTGCTTTGGGTTCGTGTGGAAGAACTGAGCGTCAAAGCGGGACAGATCTAGGATCTTCCCGTGGCGTCCAGGCAAGCCCATGTGCCCTGCAAAGGAATAGTTCACCGTGTGTTACTTTCCCAGAAGGTGGAATGTGCTTCGTTTTCTAACACAACGTTACGATAATACTGCGTGTGGCACATCCTTCCGCTAGTGGAACACAGTTTCTCGATTAGTCATTAAACGAAGGTTAAGAAAAAGTGCTTGACTTTTCTTGATGGTAGGGAAAATTCACCTGAGCATATGTGTATTGCCGAAGGCAGCGTGTGTTTTGAACTATCATTATCGCATACTTTGAAACATGAACTTAAATATGATAGTGTTTAACTAGTTCGTAATCAATATTGTTATGTAAATTGCGTATATACCTTCAAAACAATTGTAGTTAAGGTTGATATTTTAAGGTATACTTATTTACATCTCTGATTGTTGTGTACTTGTTGTATGGCATTGTAGGTCTTTTTTTTGTACGTTCCTTACTCACTTCTCTTTGCTATGGGTAATTTTGGCATTATTATTCTACTTTTCATCTATATATTTTTATGTTAACATTACCCAAGAGTCCCATTGCAGTTGCTTTAATTCAACACCTTCGTCTGTATACTGCAACTCATTAACCTTTGTATTTTGAAATAATAATTAATAGAAACTGAAAATAAATTGTTGCTTAGAATATTCAATGAATGCCGAGGATCCTGCATGCATGAATCAACGCTCCTATTTACTACGTTCATAAATGTTTAATAAAAAGTCAGCTTTTAGCCACTTGAGCAAGGCGAAACAAGTGAGATCGAGGATCTCAATATTGCTTTTCTGGGAGTATCAGCTCGTGCGTTGAAATCACGCAATAAAATCATCAAAAACCCTTAGTAAAATGGGGTGGAAGCCTTCACTCCAGCTTCTAGAACATTTATATTGCCGTGCTGGGCCATTGTCCAACACACATGCTTCATAGACCTGAAGAACTTCTATTTATTTATTTGATTTACATACACGGTTACACAAGGAAACGGAGAAAAGTATGAGAGAGCAGACTGGCAACTGCCACCTCGAGGGGCACAACACCTGCTCACTCTTTCAGGAGGACGGAAGAGAAAAGAAAGACAAAAGAAGAGGGAGGAAGAGAGTGAAGTAAACGAAAGCTGACGAAGACTTAGACAAGTATAAGTACAAAAGTAAAAATCTATAGGAAAAATAGCGAGAGCATAAATCAAGACACTTTATGCGTGGGTGTTTCAGGTTCTGTGCATGAGACGCTCAAACACCTTTCTCAGCCTGTTTTGCTCCTTCCCAGATTTTTAACAGATGTAAATAACTACAACATGATTTCACATTTGTGGAGCTTAGTAATGTGTGGTTTTGACGTGTGCTTTCTGTCACTATGGTCTGTTAGGCTGCCTTCGTACTGCCTCAGTGCAGTTGGCTCTCCATGTTCTGTTCAAAGCTTTGTTTTATATACAAATTTGTATTTTCATCACGCAATTACTCTGGTCGTTGCTTGCCCTGCCAAGGTTCGTGTAGCCTTTAGCATTCCATGAAATCATACCAATTTCTTGTAATGTCTATACCGGTGCAGTGCAGAACGTTAGAAGCATATGTTCTTCGCATGGGGAAGCAAGAAAACAAAAAGCAAAAATAAGACAAAGCAGTCTCATTATCCTTTATATATAAAGCCAAAGGGCTTTCCCTAATCACCTTTCTACTAAGTACCCGTAAGACAGTCGAAGTGGGGATTGAACCCTAAGTACCTGTAAGAAAGCTACATACACCTCTAGCGTGAACTATCAAAAAGGATTTCGTACTTCCGTGAGGCAGTGGTATTTAATACAACTTCGAGTAGCAGCTGATAATAGAATGGAGAGCCGCAAAAAGAGGCGTAATAATGTAGAAAAGTGCTATTTATCCTCACCTGAAGAAATAGAATAAGTCTTAAATTTTGCTGCACTACTTGTCGAATTGTATATAGTATTGTGCATATCATTTCAGACGTGTACCGAACCGATGCAATATTTTTTACACCTGTACAAATCACAGCGTAAAAGCGGTTTATTAACCCTATCTGAACTCCCTAACCTCTCCTCCAACATTGTGTACTACCTTACAAGGCACCACAAGTATATTAGTTATTATTAATCTGTGCTTCACCCACGTACTAACAATGCCTTTGACACTCTGAACTGTACATAGATTTTTCGCTGAAAGTGTTGGTTATCTCATATCGCCATCCACAATATTTCATAGAATTTTTTTTGGAACTTAATTTCTTAGTATGAGCATTGCCCCGCCGTTTTGTTTATTTTTTTGTTGGTGTAACTCGCATTGAATAAACCCTTAGATATGCTTTATTTGTAGATTTGTAGATTGTAGTACCCAGCTTGTTTTTTCAAGTTGTTTTGTAGTATTTTGTCTGGCTTTTTCTTCCCGCGTCATTATATGTTTCTTTTCTGTGCAAACAGCAATAGCGATGTACACGTGGAAAAATAGAGCATTGTCAAGCCTGTCATATTTTCCTTCTCCTTAGTCACGTATTTGTCCATGCATATCTAGAATAAAGACTGAGACTTAGACTGAGCATTCTCTTGACAAACTGTAACGTTTTCGTCAGAATTATGCGTTGTGGAACCCGAGAGAGAAACAACTGTATTCGCCCAGCTGAAGGAAAGCGCCTGCGAGAAGGTGAGGGATCCTACTCGTGGTAGGCCTCCTCTACCTCCTCAGTCTACCTTTAGATAGCCTCCTGAATTTCGGGGTTCTAGCTGCACATCGCAGCCTCCCACAGCTCCTGACTACATACTTGTTTTTCGAAAGCTCGGGGAAGGGGAGTGATTTGGACACTGCCACTTAATGTGGTTAAAGACCGCTTTCCAAATCAGAAACGGAAGAACTCCATGACAGTGCCATCTGCTCGACTGTCCGAGCTTTGGAGGGCCACTAAGAGGTGTTGCAGTTCATGGGCAACACAATGAAAAAGAAATTGGCAGATCCCACGTGACTGACAATCGACAATATGCGAAGCATGTGGAGGGAAGTTGACCATGTTGCAATTTTTTTTATTGAGCGACACTTCATGAAATGACGCTAAATATATGTACAAATGCTGTACGCACAGACATATGTTGAGGAGTTGCAGATGTTTACCTAACCAGTAATTTGCAGTTGCGCAACGGCGCCAACTGGAACATGCGTATTAGGAACACCATAAGGTGAAAAGAAGCGCCGATGCTCGTGAGAATGCTGGGCCTGAACACTGCTACATAAATGAACTTCAGCGCATGGCAACTAACCACAATGGACTTTAACTCGACGAGACGGCTGTATCAAAAGAGTAGATATGTAATATTTGCAAAATTGGGTAGGCAGCACCGCAACCACTATCGACGTTTACGAAGATTAGAGTCTATTTTTCTCTGAAAAGTAGTTCTGAGACCTGGTGTAGCTCTGTGGCAAAATGCTTCATTGCCTCGCAGAATGCTTGGGTTTGATTCCAGTTGAGACCCTAACATTTATTCTTTGCATTCGTCGGTTCGACGCTACCGATGTCGGGTATTTCTTAAAGCTCACGCGTTGAGATTGCCCACGTGTGTTCTCGTTCTTCTTTAGTAGATACTAATTGTCAATTACCTGTGGCACATATCCGCATACCCAGCGGCACATACCCGCCAGTGGGTATGTGCCACTGTCTGGCGGGAAGTGTTTGACGACGTACACGACGGGGTCGTGACACTATTCATGTCTTGACCAGTGCATCGTGTTCGTTAATGCAATGACTTGAAGGCGTAAATGTGGCTACTACTGTAATACATATTGCAAGACTGACCAGGGGGCCAACGCAAGCCGTCCTCAGTGACCATATCGACACTAGCGTAGAGCTTCTCCTTAAACTCTACCAGGTGATTGGCTTGTGGAAAATAGGCGGAGAAGCCGGAGATGACGATGTCATCGTCGTCAGCCATTGCTGTCTTTCGACAAACCTGCAAGAAATTGAAAATACAAGTTGTACACCTTCGCAGGTATGTCTCTTGCGTTCTTAGGAACTGCCCAATAAACCCTTTTCATAAGTGGCAACTGCGCATCTCTGCACGGAATATTAGCCCAAATAACACCGCCACCTGTCGTGCTTCAAGCGGAGAAGTGGTCTTAGTTGAACGAGCTGGGCCTTGTCTCCTACAAGCACTTATGTCAAGAGAGCACACTCTACATTTTTCACGCCGTTGCATAACCTGTGCTCGAACATCCTATTTGCAGTAAGGGACTAGCCACTATCAGTTGTTCATATTGTGTCGCAGAAAAGCTAGCTCTAAAATTTGAAAAGGGTCTGTTCTCAATAAAAAATTGATGGCGTGTTTTAGAAATCAAACGGGGTTTATTTAGTTAGGACGTTTCTTATTACCTTTACTATACTTTATCTAGGCCTGGAAAAGGCGGAGCTTCCGTATAAATATAACCAGTTTTGTCAACGAATTGGAAAGCTATCTCTAAGCGACGAACGGGAAGGTGGTAGTCATCGGAGTAGTGGGTGGACCAATGAGAGTGGGTGAACCTATGATAATTATAGTTTTGTTGTTCCGAATAACCGCATGAAAAGATATTACCATGGAATATTTTTAAACATATTCCAGACAATAACGACCCACCACGGTGGTTCAGTGGTGACAGTGCTGGAGTTCTGATTTGAAGTTCGTGGAATGTAACCACTGCTGCGGCGGCTGTATTTCAGGTGGAGGCGAAGACTCTACTAAAGTGCTCGTTTGAGCCATTTGGTACATGACAAACGAAGCGAAAGATTGCGCCAGAACACAAGACAGTGAGAGCGACGGACAAAGCTCTGCGGCTTTGTCCGCCTCTCTCTCTTTATTGACTTTTCGCACTCTTCTTCGCTTTGCTGAGGTGATCATGCTTGATGCCCCTGCCCTTCGACATAGGTGCGTGAATCTTAAGTGGTCGAAAGTTCAGGAGCCCTCCACTACAGCGTTCTTTATAAGCACGTGGCCATCTTTTGATGTTAAAATTAGTATCATTACAATGACGTAGTCGGAATCAATAAAGACTGATTAGGAGCCTCATTTGTCTGCTAGTTCAAATAGGTAAGCTTGAAGGGAAACCAGGACGTCTAACACCTTAAACAGGTCGTAGAACACATGTGACATTCAAAGGAAATGACATTGCTGGAAACGCTGAGCTTTATGCAGTTTCACTGAATCGGCCGAAAACTGCGCAACAATATCAGCGCTCTTGTACCAAGCTTATTATGTGAGTACGAATACTGCAGGCTTTACTAAACAGAGCCGCATTTCGAGATATGGTTAGGATAATCATTACACGTCACAGGAAAAGTCTTCACGGGAACACTGCAGGCAACCATGATGGAGCTCCCATAACTAAATACTAGTACCTAATACAAATTTGGTAGAACACCGTTGGACTGGGCCAAACGCACGTGCGTGCGCATGCACAAACATACACATCAAGAGAGGCAGAGTGAAGGAATTTCAGAATGGTAAGGAGGTTACTATACAACGCCCAGACTGTTACCCTACAGATGTGAAGATGGAAGTAAGAGAGTAAAAGAGATAAAATTCAAAAGAGAGGAAAATGCACATTGCACACCGCACACCGCACACGCTGAGCCGAGTTTCACAAGCGGTAGCTATTGAATGTTGCCCTCAAGATTTGTAGAAGGGCTCGCGTGGCTTTCTGGGCTGGTGTATTTGAGGACACCACACGCAACATGTTCTCCTTAGTAAAGGAACGACCATCCAGTCTCTTCAAGCCACGCAGGAGAGTCCTGCGATCTTGTTCAAAGTGGCACAAGACGTGGTCAAGAGTTTCCACACAGTTGCAGTTGTCACACCTGGATGAGTCAGCCATACCGATGTGATAACCTAATGAGTTGTTGAAAGCTACGACAACTGACAACCTGCAAAGCTTTCTAGCGTCCCGTGGCGAACTATTTGAGGGCAGTTGTAGTTGGAGTAATGCACGTAGGTTCTGTGGGCATTGAGAGAAGTTGATTGAAAGGTTCGAATGCATAAGCGTGGCATGATGCGGGCTGTGAAAAGCTCTCTTGCAGCGTCCCCCTCTTGACAGAGATATCACCAGTGTGCGCGCTCCGTCACGTGCACATCGGTCTGCGTTGTCGGTGATGAGGTTACCACTGATCTCACAGGAACCCGGCAACCATTAAAAGAGTGTTATTGTTTTGGTTGGTGGCAGAATGACTGATTTCTTTGATTTGAGGCCCCAACTGACTGTAGTTCCCGCGTCGTAGTCCTCGCAGATTTTGATAGGAGGACTCGGAGTACCAGCCCACTTGCGAGATGACTCTTGCATAACATATTTTATTGCAGCTAGAAGGGGGGCAAGCTCTGAAGCCGTACATGTCGTGACGTGTTCGGTCTTCAACATGACGCTGATTGACCGAGACGAGACCGCGAAGGTGCCCATCGAACTTTCCGAGATATAACCATTGTATAGGTATGAGTTCGCTTAGCATATGATGTATGCAAAAGCTTGAATGAGACCTTCTTCATGACTGCGGATGTGAGGCAAGCCTTTTTGTATATCTCCGGCACTTCCAGGTGAACAGGGGGCTTTCATAGACCACTCTGAGCATAGCGGTATAGTTACGGGTGAGAACCTGCTCGAGATGGGATGCTGATTAGCCGCAACAACTGCGGACTCTGCCTTCGGTCTTTCTAGTAGCTGTCTAGCGAGGTGGTGGTCAGGCATTCTGGATCACAGGTCGGAAGCCTGACGCATGAGTCGACTTACTTGGACTTACTCAGACTCAGAGGGAGCCGTGAGTCTGAGTCTGATTGAGTCTGGGTGAGTAATCTTTTGGTGAGTTTTAGTCGGTGAGTTTTAGTTTAGGAGCGGTCAAGGTTGAAGAAAATGTTCGTGAGTGTGAGGCTGAATGAGTCTGGCTCAGGATATATTTCGTGAATCGAAGCTTCAGTGAGTCCGAAGCACAAGATACATTATTTAGTCAGTCTGAGTAAGTATGAATTATGTGCGTGGACGTAGGGTCATATCCACTCATCGTCAGCATTGCTATATGCCTAACCTTGATAGCGTTTATACGCACTTCTATTCGAACATATTCTAAAGCAGTGTCATTCATACACCATCTATTTTTTTATACACCACAACTACCCTAAGAAGAGTGCTCTGTACAACTAGCGAGATATATTACAAGGACGTTTGTGCTGAGCCTCTTCGGGAAGTGCGAGATGGGAGCGTCTGACGAAACCTCTATTTAGAACGGCTTGAATGCGGGCTAGTTGATGATCTTGTTTGTCGAATGGTTGCAGCGTGCATCACCATTCGACATGAAGGACTTCAGTCGATAACGATACCTAAGAATTGGTGACCAAATTTAGAAAAGTAAGTACTGACGACGTGCGTTGAGAAGGTTCTCATTCACGTGAAGACTCGTAGAAGAGGATATCAGAATGAATAATATGCCAAGATAAGACTCTCTTCATTCAGCCTTTGGCATTTGATATTGTAATGAACATGATCGTAATAATATTTTGAGCATTTTCTATTCCCGAAAAGGACGTGAAGCACACTGGGTCTTATTAGGTAACGTTTACAAGAGGGAAAATTTTATGAAAGTTTTGGGGAAAGATCTCATGGGGCCCCTATGAGCTTCCTGGGTCACTAATACCATTACAATCACGACGCAACCAGTACACTGTAAACTATCCTAAGTTTCAGGAAGTAGGGAAATACTTAGTACACCATGACTTATCATTATTTCGTGAAGTGTCGTACCCGTAACGTAGCTGTGAGGCATTGCGTGAACTGTGGCTAATTACAGTGACGACAATACGTACACTGTAGCTAGTTACAAGTGAAGCTGTGGCTAATTCAAATGAAGAAATGTTAGTGAGCCTTTTGTAATGAAATTAAAGCACTCAACGACCCACTGGTTACAGAATTCACATTTTCGTATGCCTGTTTACATAATTAATTAGGCGTAACACCTGGTTCTCCGGTTTTGCAGGATCTGCTTCTGTGCAGAGGACCATTATGGTGAGATCCAAGCATGTCGCTGAGCCGCCATCTTTTTCGAACAGCAAAGTACCCTAAATCGTATTTGTCTACAATGCCGCCTTCTCGAAGCTGTCTATTTTGCAAGCCACGTGCGAATCAGAATGGGACTTCTTAAGGCTGCAGTCCACTTAGCTTTTTAGCTCTTTACGGCCAGTATTAGAACACGCTCATTGCTGGCTTCAGAGAAGCGAATGCCACAGTTTACAGGACCCTCGTTTCAAACGAACTGCACGGCCAGAATGTGCTCACTGTAGATAAACTTATCAGCCTTCGTCTTAACTACCCTCTGTTCTTACCGTTTAACACAATGCTTTCGAAAGATATCGTGTCTGACCGCAGTAACTCGTGTCTTGAAGTCGCTGTGCTGTATCCGCGGCCTCTTTGGCTACGAAAAAGCATGCAGAGGTTTTGCCGCGCCTGGAGCACTCTTCGACTCCTCACCAATACTTACTGAACAAGTAAGTATTCGTGATGCCAAAGCAAGCAAGCAGCTCAAGCACTTAATTTACACACGCATTGACAGTCTTTGAGGAAGCTCAGCACTCAGAGACACACGGATTGCGAACCTTTAAAAGGGCCCTAAAACACTCTTTCAAGTAACCCTGAAATGAATTCCCTGGAAAACCCTATTGCTGCACGAATTCAACACCGCTAAAATTTCAAGAATCCTTCTAGTGCGAGTGAAGCTATCAAGATTTGTCGTATGCTGCTATTGCATTCTCTCTTGTGTCGTCCTGACGAAAGCCTAGAAGCCAAGCAGGAAGGGATGACAGGGGCGAAGAAAATATGTCGCCTGTGACTCGTCACCTTGAGACGTTTTTTTTTCTTTTGAATACGAGGCTTTTTTAGTGCGATCGCGCGCGCACGCGTGGACGTGTGACGGCCTTTCTCGGCA